AGTGGGCGGGCATCGGGAGGCCACTATGGCACGGGGCAAGCACTATGGGCAGTCTATCTGAAGTGTACCTGGCGTATAAGACGACCCCCCACTTGGAGGCATATTTTTCAGGGCCAAAAAATCGTCTTATACGCCGGCAAATACAGTATATTCAAAGTCACTGTCTATTATTGCATCCTGTTTAATCTGTAAAAGACCACCTTATGAATTATTGAGTAAGTCGTAATGATTCTTTATTAGGACTCCACCAGCCAGGTAATAATGGGGGCGGGGGAAATGGAAGGACAGAGGTGAAGCAGAAGCTCTCAGTGCCCAAGCCGGGTAACTGCATACTTGGTGAAGACTGAATCGTGGAGCACATTGCTTTCATTTCCGATTTTGAAGTGATATTTAGGCGGTTGAAGTTAATGTTGATAACTCCCACACCAGTGTCAATGAAAGTTACATTTTATGTCTTGTATGCTCTCCCCACTCTTCTCTTAACAGAAGAAAGCTTGGCCAGACCACAAGCGGGAATGCAAATGCCTTAAAAGCTGCAAACCCAGATATCCCCCCGATTCCGTCCGACTTCTGGGCAGAGTTGTTGTCAAACTTGTGAGTACAGAACTTGTGAAATATCCTTGGTTTTTAATTTAACAAAAGCACTCACATTTGCATATATTATTCTTTAAAAAAATACGTTTTTATTGATTTGAGAGAGGGAGAGAAACATCGATTGGCTGCCTCCTGCACGCCCCTATATGGGATGGAGCCCGCAGCCAGGCCATGTGTCTTGACGGGGAATTGAACCTGGGGACCTCTTCCTGCATAGGATGACAGGACACACGTATTATTCTTATTGAAGGCTGAATTTAAATCCATATGAAAGTAGAAGGTGGATTATTACAGGGCGTGTCTTAAGTCAACAGCTTGCTGTTTTCCTATCAATCACAGCATCAGTGGTGGTAATGACGTGCACGGCCCCTCTTTGAAGGCCCTGGGTGTGATCTCCTGGGATTGGAGACAGGAGGTCCTGTATTTGTCACATGAGAAGTTAGTAGAATCTGTTATGTTGCCTTTATTACTTTTCTACTGTGAACTAATGCACAGAGTATGTATATAATTCTTGTCTCTTCAACTGAGATTTTAATTTTATGATAATTAATCTTACATGGAAGAGTACTTATTTTTTTATTTACAGTCAAGATTCAGTGAAATTGTGTCTTCAGTTCTTTTCCTTGCTCTGCCGAAACAACTAGTGGGTTCTGTGACATCCCCCTCTGGTGACACCTTCCAGATTTTTGGGATCAGCCTTTAGCATGAGTATCTCTCAAGTTATTGCAAGCTCCAGCTCTGTTCTCTCCGGTTTTGTATGGACTTTTTTTGGCTATGAAATTTTCTAGGGGTATTTAAGAATGTAAAAGTATGATTATATACATAAAACTAATGCAATGTTATATTTCAGTTACATCTTAATGTAAAAAAGGATTTGCAATACCAAATGGGCATTGTCTTTGGACTGAATATGCAACATACATATTTACTACTATGTATACATTGTGTTAAAACTTACAAATTTATTTCAAAGCATTAATAAATTTAGAGCAATTTTTATCATTATGCATTTCTTTAACCACTGGATATTAAAAGTTTAATCACTGTTATATTTGAATGTGAACTTTTTTCTACTTTATTAATATTAAACAGATAGACAACTACTTTTAGAGCAGAGATGGGTTGCTTCAGAATCACTGAAGGTCCTAGTTCTCAGTCACCACCCCTGATCTACTGAATCAAAACCTAAAAGGAAGCAATCCTATATAATAAAAACCTAATATGCTGTGTCCGTTCATCTGGTCGTCCATTCAACCAATCAAAGCATAATATGCTAATGATATGCTAATGCTGCTCAACTGCTCACTATGACGTGCACTGACCACCATGGATCAGTCGACTGGTCAACCAGGTATTATGACATGCACTGACCACCAGGGGGCAGACGCTCTGACAGGTAGGTTAGCTTGCTGCTGGGGTCTAGCCAATAGGGACTGAGCGAGACAGGCCAGACATGCCCTGGATCCCTCCCATGGTCCCTCCCTGGCTGGCCAACCTCCTGCGTCCCTCCCCGGCCCGAACGTGCACAGGTGGGGTCCTTCAGCCTGGACTGCACCGTCTCGCAATCTGGGACCCCTCGGGATGTTGGAGAGCCATTTTGGCCCTACAGCAGAATGACTGGTCCCTGTGATGCCCACTGACCATCAGCTCCAATGCAGGAGCTGCCCCCTGGTGTCAGTGCACTGCCACAGGGGGAGCACCACTCAGCCAGAAGCTGGGCTCATGGCTGGTGAGCACAGTGGTGGTGGCGGGAGCCTCTCCTGCCTCTATGGTAGTGCTAAGGATGTCCGAATGACAGCTTAGGCGGGGAGCGGGCCTAAGCCGTCAGTCAGATATTCCCCAAGGGCTCCTGGACTACGAGAGGGTGCAGGCTAGGCTGAGGGGCGCCCCTCCCTCCGCCAAGTGCCCGAATTTCATGCAACTGGCCTCTAGTTGTGAAATAGTTACTTTGCATAGAGTACTTTCTCTCTCCAGGCCTTGTGGTAATCACTTTACCTGATATACCTAATTTCACACCCAAAACAGTCCTGTGAATCAGCTGCTGTTATTACCCTTATGTTCCAGATAACAAAATTGATTCCTCTTGACTCAAGGTTAAGCATCTTGTCCAAGGTTGTACAGTTTGTAATAAATTCTTATTTTTATTGATCCATCTTTGCTTTTTTAATGATAATTTGTAATAAAATTCTTACAGTGATACAAACTGTATAAATAGAATGGGGGAAAAAATAAAAGTATGAAATCGTGTAAAAGAGTTTTACATTTGGAAATTAAGCTGGTGGTTACGTCATAGCTTTTATTTTATTAAGTTGTTACTGATTAAATAATTGAACGGTAAGAACGTGGTGAAGAGAAGGAATATACTGGATAGAATTTTACTTTTTAAAGAGACTTTCATTAAATGTCTAAAGATACTCAAACATATTTATTTATATATTGGAAAACTTGAAATTGTTTTGGTGTTTTCCGCCTTTACTTCATAGATGGAAGAAACCCCTTCTGAATCGGAGAAACTTTACTCATTTTATGATCTGGAATCAAGTAAGTGATTATCAGCATAAAAAAAATCCTGTCATTTATTTCCTGAGATGATGAATTGCTTTGTTTTTTGTCTCTCTGTTATGTGAGGGAAATCTAACATGAGCATATTTAATTTATTCTGGGTAGCTTTGGCCATATAGGAATTTGTAAAGTGCCAGGTTAGGCAGTGAGGGGAATGTAACCCCTAGTCCAGTTGAAAAAATAATTTTTCTTCTGTTTCTCCCTCCCTTACTCTCTTCTTCCCACTCTTGCTTTCTTTTTGATGTCACGAAACAGTGAAGTGAACAGGGTGGGGTCCTGGTGTCCAGGGAACATTTAGGTTCACTGGTCGAAACACAGATGACTTAGGCTCTCTAACAGCATTGAGCATTGTTCTTCTCCCGATGGCCGAGCTACTTGGGAACAGTGAAAGGCTTTCCAGATCCGAATGTTAATAAATGTAGGGTTTGTTTTTCTTTCATATTGGCACAGACACTCTTCATTGAGGTTGCAAATGACTTCAACGCAAAAGTAGCCAGAACTCATAGAGTAAATTGGCTACACAGTTTAAGATTTGTGTTGGAGGTGAATCTAGTACAGATTTATGGTGATGGGATCCCACTTGCCAGTGATAGTGCATTATTATTTAAGTATCACCAATCATTAGGGAGATGCAGATCAAAATTACAGTGAAATAATCATCCCACCCCATTAGGATGGCAACTATAGGGGAAAAGAAAGAGAAAACAAGTGATGGCGAGGAGGTAGAGGAATTGGAACGGTAGGAATGTAGGATGGTATGGCTGCTATGGCAAACAGTATGGAGGTGCCTCAAATAATTAAAACTATAATGATCATACGTCCCTGGATTCTGGTTATACACTCAAAATAATTGAAATTAAGTATTTATTCATCTATATTTATAGCAGTATTAGTCACAATAGCTAAAACTTGGAAGCAACCAAATGTCTATCAATGAATGAATAGATAAGTAAAATGTGTTATGTATACACAATGGAATATTATTCAGCGTTAAAAAGGAATGAAATTCTGACATATGCTACAACATGGATGAGTCTTGAGGATATTATACTAAGTGAAATAAGGTAGTCTCGGAAAGACAAATACTGTATGATTCCACTTATATGAAGTACTGAGAGTACTCCAGATCATGAAGAAAGAAAGTAAAATGGTGGTTCGCAGGGGCTGTGGGAAGGGATGAGTGGGAAGTTATTGTTTAATGGGTATAGAGTTTCAGTTTTACAAGGGGAAAAGTATTATGGAGATGGATAGTGGTGATTTTGCATAACAATGTGAGTGTATTTGATACTACTGAACTGTATAGTTAAGAATGGTTAAGATGATAAATTTTATGTTATATATGTTTTCCCACAGTTTTGAAAAGAAATAACTGGATTAATTGTTCTGTTGAACAAGTAATTTAAAGAAAATATGTAGACCTGACGTGAGCAACAGAGTTATGCTCTAGTTCAACTGATGTATCTTTTCTAGTTTTAACAGAGAACTAATTAGTCATTTTTTTGGTATGTTATTGCTAAGTAATTAACATCTCTTGGAATGAGTTTCACTATTAACATTAGCCTTGCTCACTAGCAGTGTTGTACACACTGCCTTAAGTGAAATGCTCTCGAACTTTATTAATTGAATTGTGCATTCTTAACCTTAGCACTCCTTGATGATATACATTAACTGATATTGGCTGTAGAACTTTCTTCTGTTTCAGCTGAAGTAGCACCATACCTTGTTTATTCAACTGAGAAATGATTTGACCTTGAGATTTCTTTGGATGGTCCATATTTTCTTGTTGATGTGCTTTCTGATGACAGATTTTACCACTCTCAACTTCAGCTGAACTTTTTATTTCTATTTTATACATACATATATATATATATATATTTTAAAAAATATATTTTATTGATTTTGGAGAGGGATAGAGAGTTAGAAACATCGATGAGGGAGAAACATCGATCAGCTGCCTCCTGCACACCCCCTACTGGGCATCAAGTCCGCAACCTAGGTATATGCCCTTGACTGGAATCGAACCCGGGACCCTTCAGTCCACAGGTGGATGCTCTATCCACTGAGCCAAACCGGTTAGGGCTTCAGCTGAACTTTTTAGTTTTCACTTTCTGTCCCCCTGCCCCTTGGGAGATGACCTTGTTGTAAACTGTTTCATAGAAAAGTCTGCTTACATTCACTGATTTAATAAGTATTTATCATGTTTGAACATGTGTACAGGATGATGTAGAAAATGTGGTAACACATCTTTACTGATTTTGTTTCTAATATTTTTCATCTGTATGTGTATTTATTTTGCTTTGATAAGTGTTTGATCTTAACAGTATAGATGAACGTTGGCAGAATTCAATTGCTAATGTATGTGTCGTGATCTGTAGTTGGCAAAAATAAGAAAGATATGTGTTTGCTCTCTGTCAGAATGGAATCTAGGGCAGGAAATCGCTAGTTAACAGTTATCTTTGAACACCTGAAAATTATCCATTAAAAGTTCACTGTGTGATTGTGCTATTTATTTTCTCTTTAAAAAAGATATTAACAAACTGACTGAAGATAAGAAAGAGGGCCTCAGGCAACTTGCAGTGACATTTCAACTTTATATCAGAGAAGAAATACAAGATGTTTCTCAGCTGCCACCTTCCTTTGACATCTTCGAAGCCTTTGCAAAAGTAAGTGTGACGTTTGGTGTTTTTGCTAATGCTCTGCATCAAGCCTTCACTCTTTATATTGTTGTTGATCCGTGAAAATCCAGGACCCTTCGTGTCTTATATCACTCTCCTACCTTACTGAGTAGAGAATGAAAGAATGTATTACTTATATTAAAAGGGTATTTACTTTTAATGTTTTATTCAGTATTCTTATTAATGACCCAAGTATGTTCATTGTCAGCTCTCAAGACATACTCTGCCATTGCATTCATTTAGTTTTGTCATGGTGTTTCAGTAATACAGCCTGCTTTGAAATTAAATTTATTGGGGTGACTGGTTAATGAGATTATATAGGTTTCGAGTGTACAATTCTATGATACATCATCTGTATATTGCATTGTGTGCCCATCACCTAAAGTCAAAATCTTCTTTTGTCACCATATATTTAACCCCTTTACTCTTTACTACTCCCCTACCCCCCTTGCATCTGGTCCGCCATACTGTTGTCTGTGTCTTCTTTGACTTGTGTCACTTAGCATAATACCCTCCAAGTCCATTCATGTTGTTGCAGATGGCAAGATTTCATTTTTTTTTGGTTGACTAATATTCCATTGTATATATGCACCACTTCTCCTTCATCCGCACATTGACTGATGGGCACTTAGGTTGCTTCCATATCCTAGCTATTGTAAGTAAGGCTGCAGTGGGCGTGTGGATGTGTACGTCTTTGGGAATTTGTGTTTTGGGTTTCTTCAGGTAAATGCCCAGAAGTGGAATTGCTGGGTCCTTCTTTGTCTCTTGTTATAGTCTTTGGCCTTTTTGTTTGTTTCTGTTTTCATGAAATATCTTTTTCCGTCCCTTTGCTTGCAGTCTGTGTGTTCCTCTCTGAAGTGAGTCTCTTGTAGGCAGCGTATGCGAAGGTCCCATTTTCTTATTCAGCCACCTACGTATTTTGATTGGAGCATTTAATACATTTACATTTAAAGTGATTATTCATAGGTATGTGGTTATTGCCATTTTGTTATTTCTATTTTTGATTTTTTAAAAATTTTCTTCTTAGAGAAGTCCCTTTAACATTTCGTGTAATACTGGTTTGGTGGTGATGAACTCCTCTAAGCTGTGTCTTATCTGGGAGCACTGGAGGTTTAGATTGTAGGGGTTTGCTGTATAAATATATCCTCTCCACTTAGGAATTTGTTGCCTGGCTGTAAAATTTAAGTAGCATGAGACATAGCAGTGAGAACTTTTTCTAGAGGGTACCAAGGAGAACTTCATGTAGGAAGTAGAAGTGGATGCTGGAATTCCAGGAGAGAGGATGGTGCTGGGAAACAGTTATAGACAGTGGTCTAGAAAAGTGGCTGGGACTATGGGGAGCTGAGAAAAAATCGATCCCCTCTGCAGATCTGAAAGGTAGCTGCTACCTGTGGAGTACATAGCAGTTATTCTTAGAACTTTTGAATAAAAGATTGGTGTTTAAAAAGCTGGTTTTGCATTTTGGCAATAGAAAATTTGTGAGGGTAATAGTACCTCACAATTAACTGGGTGAGGTACTAGAATTCCTGTAGAGAGGGTGCTGTGGGTGATCATCTGTTTGGATGGACAGACTGAAGTGGTTTGCTTGAAGGTTCATTTGCAGAGCAGTTTTTTATTTTTAGATTGTGTTACTTGAGAGGAGGGCGAGGTGTGCCTGGATGGAAATAAAGGTATGAGGTAGGAGGAGCGTGATGGTTGCTGCTGACACGAATGAAGGTGGCCAAAGGGTGGGAGGTGCATTGCAGATGCTTGTTAGTGAGAGCACAGGAGACATGCAGTTACTTACATGTTCATGAAAAATAGAGGCCAAATTCATGTGCCAGCTCTGCTAGGCTGTTAGGGAAGAGAACTGTGTGTCTCCATCTCTGCCATCCCTTCCTCCTTCTCATCCCATATTTTCCCCTCTACTTCTATTTCTAACACAGTTTCCTGATATATTTCAAAATGGGTTTATCTTGGCATGACAATTGCAGTGGTTCAGTCTATTGATTGAGTTCTAAACATTTACTACAAATATAGGAAATGTATATATGAATAATATAAACCTTAAAAATGGAGAAAGTAACAGAGAGGATACATTTGAATGGGGCACTGGGCCGTGCTCAGCACGGCCAAGGGTGAACCTGAATGGTGGGCAGTGAAGGATTAAAGAAGACAGACAAGAGAATCAAGCTGGGGCTAGGTGGGATGCTGCTCTCAGATGGAGAGACCGTGCCACAGCCTGCAAGCCGAGTCTTTATTTTATAGCCAGATCCCACGAGGCAAAGTAAGGGCATGGTCAAGATATTTAAAATATTCTCCCAGGTTTTGAATCTACTCAATTACATGCATCTGAACTCTGTGAAGCTTTGTTTTGGCAGCACTTGCCACACCTTCTGCAGCCTACATCACTCAGCCACCTGGGACCACAGGTTCGGACCATAAGGTCAAGCTTACAACCATAGCCTTTGGCTATAATTGTGCTGGGAGGGCTTTGCCCTCCAAGCTGGGATCTGCACGTGGCTTTGCCAGGAGAGGACTGTGCCCTCACTTTAGTCCGAGGCTTGAACCTGTCCAAACACTGTAGCCACTCTCCACAGGGCACTGAATAGTACTATGTGGTTAAATCGCTTTCTCAGGCAAGTAATTGAAATGCTCTCAACCTCAATCTCCCCGTCTGTAAATAGGAATAATAATAAAATCAACTTCACAGATAAAAGTACTTAAAGTGTCTCGCGCTACTACTCCTGCCCTCTACTGCTGGCTTTATTCATATTCTGCTATAAGACTGCAGTGTTGTGTGTCTTCCGTGCTGTCGTCTAGAGCAGCAGTCGCCAACCTTTCGGACCTCATGGACCACCAGTGGTTGGTGACCGCTGATCTAGAGTGCCGCCTGCGACTGACTGGAAACCAGAATCTCCGTTGGTTGCTCAGTTTTGCCCAGTGCTGGCTTCTCTGGAGTGCTGAGAATGACGATCTTGTTTGAGAAGAAATTTTGCCAACAGGCTATAGTACCTTTTCCTTAGTAACTGACTTGGTTTCAGCCCATAGCTATTGTGGGCAGAAATCATATACTGTGCCCTGCACTCATGACAGCTCCATGGTTTCAGAGTAGTTCCTTGGGATGTCATGTAGGAAATGGGTGAACAAAGTGTTTCTAACACATGCATCTTAAAAGGATGGAATTGAATATAAAAGTTATTCAGTTATCCTGCTATAATCCACTGAAATGGCATGGAATGTATAGTATTTCTCTATTCCATCCCTCAGAGTGTACATTGATAATTATTATATCGATAATTGGTAATGGTTATTTATAACTTAATGTCAGTAGGCCTAGATTTGAGCTTATTTTCTATGCACAGAATATAGGTTGTAGAAAAATGTACTTAATTATTTTTTTCTGAACTTATAACTTCCTTTTCTAAAAATGCATTTGGTAGATCTTATCACAAAATGTGATAAGATCTGAAAAATAAAGTAGAAAATAAACCAGTTGCATAAAATGTTTCAAAAACAGACTGTAAATTGGAAGCAGCAAGAGTAAAAGTGACCTCCTCATCACAAAACATGTCATCGTTGGTGTTTGCAGAGCCCAGCAAAGTACCCATTAACCTCATAAAGCGGCACAACTGCCACAGTGTCTTTTGGTTAGAAATTCCACATCTATTAGGGAAGACGTTCCCTCCCTTTTCCTTTCAAACAAAATAAGAATTCTCCCGATAAATGTTATTTTTATTCTTTAGGCACATATGTGACCTCCGGACTCTAATTTTTAATGCTACGAGTTGCAGCAGGTTTTGCAATATACACTGTGATTGTATAGCTTTTAGAAGGTGTTTTATTTTGGCACTGTGATACTTAAATTTTACATTCAGTTTTATTAGTGGTAAATTCCTTTTTATTGGAGTCTTTTTTTCACTAGAGTAACAATGGAGGATATATTAAATCAAGAATCTTGCTAATTTATAATATGAAAAGAAAGAGTAACAATATTTTTGATTGAGATGCATACTTGCATTTGGGTGGTATATGCCATTAGACATAGAGTGATAATAAATAATCTATATGATGTTTTGCCATAACCTCATAATTTTAGTGGAGCATATATATCAACATGGAGGAAAAATGACTAAATAACTGTTTTTGTCCTTTTTTATTTGCTGAAGGATGGGGTACCTCAGTAAAAAGCAAGAACAAGTTGTTCATGATATGTTCAGTTATTAATCTTAACATTTCAGTTCTGTTGACTCTCTCATTCTGGATATGCTGGTGTTTTATTACTTATGTGTTGTGGTAGGCTAATTTGTGGGAAGAATATTACCTTCATTGTTTTGAAAGGTCAGGGGTGTGTGTGTGTATTTGCCACTTGAGGGCTTCAGGGGTTTCATATAGGACCAAATTTTAGAGCTTTTTGTGGCTCAGCTCAGTTGGGTTTCACCGCTGTAGCATTCTATAAAGTAGTAAAGAAAGCAATCTTTTGAATTAATAAAGTGATGAATTACCTAATTACAAATTTGATGGGAAAAGGCAGTATGATAACTTTCACTGCATTACTAAGTGATTCCAGTGACTGATCAGATGTGCCTGGGTTCTATTAAGGAGAAATATGCCATTAAATATTTAGTGCTGAGAGCGAGCAGACATCCAGGACTGCTAACCTCCGGTCACCGGGAGCCTCATCTGTATACGTGGAGGTGGCTGCTGCGGGAGCGTCTCTCTTGTCTGCTCTCAGCAGCTGCTAGAAGACTTAGTGATTTGGGTTGCACCTTTCTTCTGGTTTTACGTAAAGCAGGCAAACAGCCAAGATACTTAACTGCACACCGAACCCGGCATTCTAATTATGAAATGCTGATGCATTTATGATTTATATGTTTTTCCTTCATTACAGTAGATTGAAACTCTGAGTAGATTCAAGAGACAATTATTCTCACAAATGGTCTTCTAAGTTATGTGACAATTGTAGGACACTTGGGCTTTCTAAACAAAACAAATGATGTGTTTTTAAT